CCGGGGTGAGTGTGCGAGGAGGGGGCTGCACCGCCGGGTGAGTGTGCGAGGAGGGGGCTGCACTGCCCTTGGGGGCAGTGAGTGTGGAAAGCGGGGAGGGCATTTGCATCCCCCTTAATAGAGAGGGTGGGTGTGCAAGGAGGGGGTCTGCATTCCCCCCGGGGAGGATGAGTGTGCAAGGGGGTGTTTGCATCCCCCTCGGGGAGGGGGGGCAAGTGTGTAAGGGGGGATCCCCATCCCCCTTATGGGGGAGGATGGGTGTGCAAGGAGGGCCCTGCACCCCTTGTTGGGGTGCTGAGTGTACAAGGGGGTATCTGCACCTTTTCATGTGGGGCTGGATGTGCAAGAGGGGCATCTGCACCCACTCGTGAGGGTGGCAAGTGTGTAAGAGGGAGAAGTCTCCCCCCTCCTTACAGGTGAGCTGCAAATGTGCAAGGACGGGATGGTCTCACCCTGCTTCTTGGGGTGTCTAAGTGTGCAAGGAGTGTAAGTGTGCAAGGAGGGCTGCACATGTGCATGCTGCCCTGGGCACCCAAGGGCACACATGGGCTGCCAAATGGTGCCCAAGAGGCCCTGGGTTCCCCGTGGGGGTGAAGGATGGTGGCACAGGGATGGATGTAGGTCAGGCGAGCTGGAGCACCCGGCTAAGCCTGCCCCACACTGCGGGATCTTCCCTTAATCTTCTGGTGCTTTAATTAGCGCCCAGGCTCCAGGCCCTGCTGGCCCAGGCTGATTCTGTGGCGATCCAGGTGCCAGTGGCAATCCCACACATGCAAATACCGGCTCGTGGAGATAAAGTGAGCCACCGTCCTTGAGTTATTTTGGAGCGTCGGAGGCAGGAGGAGGCTGCCTTCCCAGGGAGGTTTTGAAAGGGCAGTGCAGGCAGCTGGGATTTGCACGTGCCGCTTGCTCCGGAGCTTGGGAAGAGCTGGAGCTGCGACACGGGGGCTGCGGTGTGCCCTCCTGCTTGCCAGTATCCCAGAGAATGCCTATATTCCTCTGCACACATCTGTCTGCTCCAGAGCTGGCTCTGTACTCGCTCCTTTCACCATCTTTCTCCTGTTTTCCTCCAGCTTTGGCAGAGATCTGAACTGTTTCCCTGTGCTTTCCTGCTGCAGCAAGAGGCTGAGAGCGCCAGCATGGCAGGTGCGGGGGGCTCCGCTTTTATGGAAAGGCTCTGTGATGATTGTCCTTGGCGGGATTATGGATGTCGGAGCGGGATCCATCCGGCTACATGGACAGAATTAGCATGGTGGGGGGAAATCCTCCCTTTCTATTTAAAACCCGGCAACTTGGAAGGTTAAATAAGGCAAACAAGGAAGGCTCTGTGTTTGTCACCGGTTCAGTGTGGCCGTCTGTGCTGATGGATTTTTTGTTGCTGTTGCTTTTGCAGAAAAAGTGAACAACTTCCCTCCCCTCCCGAAGTTCATCCCACTGAAGCCATGTTTCTACCAGGACTTCGATGCGGAAATCCCACCACAGCACCGCACCATGGCCAAGCGGCTTTACTACCTCTGGATGCGTGAGTCACTGCGGCCACTTCTTGGCAGGTTTCTGGCTTAGGCAAGACCTGGGAGCGTTGGGATTCCCTCTTCCTCTGGCATGGATTTACGCTGGATCTGCGTGTCCTGCTCCTT